CTTCGTCAACAATAAACCATAGGAAAACAATGTTTGACTGGCTCCTTCGTCAGCAATTAACCATAGGAAAGCAATGTTTGAGTGGCTCCTGCGTCAGCAATTAACCATAGGAAAACAATGTTTGAGTGGCTGCATCGTCAGCAATTAACCATAGGAAAACAATGTTTGAGTGGATCCTTCGTCAGCAATTAATCATGGGAAAACAATGTTTGAGTGGCTCCTTCGTCAGCAATAAACCATAGGGAAACAATGTCTGAGTTATTCCTTCGTCAGCAGTAAACCATAGGGAAACAATGTTTGAGTGGCTCCTTCGTCAGCAGTAAACCATAGGAAAACAATGTTTTAGTGGCTCCCTCCGTCAGCAGTAAACCATAGGGAAACAATGTTTTAGTGGCTCCCTCCGTCAGCAGTAAACCTTAGCGAAATAATGTTTGAGTGGCTCCCTCTTCAGCAGTAAACCATAGGGAAACAATGTTTGAGTTATTCCTATGTCAGCAGTAAACCATAGGAAAACAATGTTTGAGTGGCTTCCTCCGTCAGCAGTAAACCATAGGAAAACAATGTTGATGTGACTCCCTCCGTCAGCAGTAAACCATAGGAAAACAATGTTTGAGTGACTCCCTACGTCAGCAGTTAAGATCTGGTTAACAATGTTTGACTCACTCCCTCGTCAGCAGTTAAGATCTGTTTAATAATGTTTGAGTGACTCCTTCGTCAGCAGTAAATATCTGGTTAACAAAAAAAACATGATGTTCAATGTTTTTAATTGTAAGTTTATTTGCATATATGTACGGAAGCTTGTTAGCGCCACACAAACTTTTTTTTTTTGGTATTCATTCCTATGTTTGCGTTATACGCAAACCTTTCTAAAATAACGCAAACAGTTGTGTTATCTTATTTCTTATTTAAGTTTCAAATTCTATCACTATTTGCATTGATTGCAAAATAAAATGCTTTAATATTTAGCACATTATCATGGCATAATAATGAAAGTGAGAACATTACAATACAAATTGAGTGATCAAAATGTTCAAAATCTTTTTCTATCCATTTCTCGTACCATATATATGTTCATGTGAAATTTATACAATTTTCTGCCACATCACTCATTCTTAATTTGCGGCACAAGTATTCCCCTATTCCCATGTATCTTTATAACAATGACTTGGTCGTGTGTTCATGCTCCTTCTTTTAACAATATCACAACACCAGTTTTACTGGCAGACGGACATGCAAATACAAAACACTACTTTTAACATTATACAATAAATGTATAATGTAAATTCAATACTAGTTTAGTTTTTGATTATAAAATACAAAAAAAACTCAATGAACAATACAAATCAAAATGTTTGCTTTATCTCGCAAAGGTTTGTGTTAACATATAATGCAAACATAGGAAGAAATATAAAAAAAAAGTTTGTGTTGAGCTAATACGCTTCCGTGGAATGTGTAATATTGGACTTTTTATAATGTATGTAAAATCTTTTCTAAGGATTAGTAATAATACCCTCATCAGTAAACTACGAGTTGGTTATTGTATACAGAAGTTTATTGGATTTGTTCACTGTTTTATTAAATTTGTTCAGCAGCTGGGCCAATGCGATTACATATCCAAACAGATTAGATTGTGGCGGGTCTATATTGTACTCAACACCCCGGATTCTTTTGCAACAGTTTATCAAGAGCCAATGGTCTATCATACATTTTGATAGTATCTCTTTAACAGACAGATACCGTAGTTAGCTTGACCGAGGCGAAGTGTAGTATCTCTTTAACAGACAGATACCTTGGTTAGCTTGATTGAGGCGAAGTGCGACTTTTTTTGCAGCTGGGGAGCATATTCAACAGTTGGTCTACTATTAATGTTTGAAAATTCACCAAATTAAAACGGAATTTTGGTGTTCCCATATTTCACTAATATCAATTTGTATTATATCACGAAAATGTTATAGCGGTCACAAGATGTTAACACTTGTAGGTCTGCACCACTGTGTACCAAGGACTGTTATTTCAGATATATACATCACAGTATTTACAAACAAAACAAAATTAATGCAAACTATATGCAGATTTTATATTAATTTTACAATGATATTCAAACACGCATTGATTCTTACTCTTTTTGCAACCAAACACATTATCATTAAAGCGCAAAACCTCTTATAAGAAGTCGTCGGACAATTTTATCTATTTGGCCTATTTGTAGAACTTGTACTATAAAATATTGTTGCTAAAAATTAAAAAAAACAAAATGGGTAAAAAACGTTTAAATGTAAGGAGTCGACTGACGATTTAGACTATAGCTCTATGGCAGTTTTCAAGATAAAAGCAGGGGCCTCGGTGGCCGAGTGGTCTAAGTAGTTACTACTGTAATCACTAGCCAGTCAACACTGAGGTTGTGAGTTCGAACCCCGCTCGTGCGGGTGCACTCGACTCCAACCTTAATTGACTAGGATTGTCAGTATTCCTATCGAAGGTCGGTGGTTTTCTCCGGGCACTCCGGCTTCCTCCACCAATAAAAACTGGCCGCCACGAAATAGCCCAAAAGCGGTGCTTAAAAGTGGCGTTAAACACCAAAAATCAAATCAAATCAAATCAAGATAAAAGCAACAACAAAATAGTAAAAACTGTCATCTAGGGGCAATAACTCTTATCAAAAGTGTCGACTAAGATTTCGGTTATCTAGAATGACTTGTCGGTCTTGTTTTTCTGGTCATACTTGACATTTGAAGTTTTTCTCTTATTACTACTGTTTTCAGACAACAGGCAAAACCAGAATAAAAAAGTAAAGCTCACTATTTAAGGGCAATAAAGAGTCATCTGACAATATTGGGCGAAATGAACAGTGGGCTGATCTTAACATTCTAAACATTTTTGGTCCTGTAAGATTTTCTCTATCTATATTGGATTTCAAATATGTTCTATGTTGGTTCATGTTGGTTGGTCGGCGGGATAATTGGATAATTAGATACCCTAAGGATGATTATGACAAATATTGGTTCAATTGGCCCAATAGTGTCAGAGAAGAAACGTTTTGTAAAAGTAAACGGACGACAGATGACAGACGCCATTTGTCAAAAACTCACATTGGCCTACTTTGGCCAAGCGAACTAAAAAGGCAGTTTTTATTATTAAGACGCCGACTTGCTAAATGGAAGTAATCCGCACTTTTAAACATGCCTCACTATGACTCTGAGATGAAGAACAGCAGTAAATGAACTGTTCTTTGCTTTATATGTGTTTTTGCTGTGCATATACTTATTTTGTGTCATGGATGGATATCCTTTGTTTTTCTATCATATAGTATTTGAACCCTAGCCTGACGTTAAGCAACCTGACAAGTACTGATAGTCTAAAAAATCAATTTCAAGTTACAAACAAAAAATAAACTAAAATACAAAAATACAACAGTAACCGCCAACTAACAAACACACCTTTACATATCCTCAAAATTACCTTAGCATTTATTTCTATTAATTTACATAGTAAAGTATTTACTGGTGCAAATGTGTGAAAATAGCACGATGACTTAATTTTGAATAATATTACGACTGATCATGCAGATCCCTAGAAATATCAAATAACCTCATTCAAGCACAAATTTTCTTTACAAAGTAGAATTATTGAACACAATTGCGTGCCTGTTTCATTTTCATCATGCAGTTATTCTTTGATGTTTTATTTTTATTGAACATTAACGAGAAACACATCTGCTTGTAAATATTTTACTGTATTTGTAGGAATATAATACAATCTTTAACATTTTTTGGCAGTATCCCAAGAATATTTTTCCATTTTTTTCAAACTTTAATATTTTGAGTTCAACTGATTCTTATGTGTTCTTTGATGTTGAAACATTATTATGTCGGAAGAGAAATCGGGGCAATTCATTCCTTAATCTATTTCATACTACATGTAGGACCATTTTCTCAATCTCTACTTTATTTATTTTCAGTATCACAGATTCGCATGTGTATTATTTGAAGTTGTAACTTGTACGATATTCCGTCGTATTTCTGAACTTGTAGCCTAAATATAAATGCAAAACTGCAAATTCTTCGATGCATGAGCAATTTTCAAAGCATGGAAATTTGCAGGTTTTTTTGTTGTTGCAAAATTATCTTTCATAGCAATGTTAGCACCTGAGATCACCCCCGGATTTTTGGTGGGGTTCGTTTTTCTCAGTCTTCAGTTTTCTATGTTATGTTTTGTGTACTTTTGTTTGTCTTTTCGTCATTTGTTTTTGCCATGGCGTTGTCAGTTTGCTTTCAACTTATGAGTTTGAATATCCCTTTGGCATCTTTCGCCACTCTCTTAGCACCGAACATATGTACAATTTTGATTTTATGTAAATACGGAAAAAGGTTACACAATCTTCTAAGTACTTTATCAGAGACATATATTGCAGTTGTCATAACTCAAAATGTTTTACCACAGATAGTTGGTCAAATCATTTATCAAATTGTATCACAAACATTAGAGATTTATTTTAGAAATACGATCCTAACAGTGTACATCGGGTAAATTTCATGTACTTAATTGAAACATGATGAATGTTGAGGGAATTTCGATAGGAATGATTTGAAGCAAATAGGAATATACATCATTCGAGTTATCAAGAGTACTATAACATAGAAAAGATATTTAGCATTCTGTTTTTGTGCATATCCATTACAAAAGAAGCAAAGACACAATATAGGTTAAACAAATGCGAAAAGCACAGAAAGGGAAAAATATAAAAGTCTTTTAAGATTTGTGCAATGGTACTGATATAAGATAGTAATATACGAACAAGATGTACTAAAATCATATTGACAAATGGCCTTCTTCAGTGTCAATGTTTTTACCAAACAATGACATCAGTATCTTAATATCACAGACAAATAACTGTTAAAGTAAATATATTAGAGGCCTGTAACTATATTTCATCCGCTAAATATACAAACAAACCATGCAGTGAAAAAAATCAGTAAAGTTTTCAATACAAGTAGGTTTTGATGGTTACTGATGATGTTAGTTTGAATAATCCTCTTACGATCTGTTAATGTTCTTGGCATCCATCTTAAGAACAAAAATCAATATTGTGTATACTGACTCTATTAAATTCACCTGCTATAGGCTTTAAATCATGTAAACTATGTAACTCTGACATTACTTTTTACTCACAGGAACGGATGATACCTGCCTGTTTTATTCTGTTTTTTTTTTTTTTTTTCATCGGTCCGACTATAAAATAACAGATTACTGCCATACACTTACTTTCTAATAATTTCAGCTGGAATAACAAGCTTCTTGTATTTATATATATATATTATGTATGCTGCTCGTGTGCAAGTCCAGTTACCCTCCCTTAGTATTTTATGCAGCTACACATAATTAAATACAGTTTATTGGCAATAACTTTCAATAAACATGCTAATCTCGCTGATGAACATCACTTTTCTTTATTTAATAAACAAAAAACTGTGTTTTAAAAAAATTATGGGAAATGTAAAAGGGGCGGATCCAGACATTTTTCAAAGGGGTGTCATTAATACGAACTTTAAAAACGTTTCGTTTTTTTGTTGTTGATAATTTAGGTCATGAAGGTAGTAACAAAACAAATAGTAACTCTTGGTTTACAAAATTGTTTCCAATTTAATCTTTTTGTGTGATATCTGCAAGAAAAAGTGTAAACTCTGAGGGGTCCGCAGGTGGCCTGTTGCAGGCCTAAAGTTTTGTCTCTATCCAATTTACCCCCTTTTCCAGTGACAGTCCAAATTTGCGCTATTCATCCCAATCAACCCTCATATGCAACTATTTCAGTCATAGCTACGTTCGATAACTCTGCATGTTACTGGTTTAATAAGAATTATGTCAAATTTACTGGTTACCCGCGTGATGATTAGAAAATTGAAAATATAGATATTTCACCTCGGTTACCATCCGTTTGATGTTTTCTTTTATTGATATGAAATAATGGTATTAAAAAAAATCATTAAGAATCGAACAATATTAATCTACATGTACACAGGTCTTGTCAAAACTTATATCGTGATTAGGTGCCATGTTTGTTTACTTTGATCACGTTGATGACTTACTATCTCCTTGGGTATTATTAAAGTGACAATACCGTGACATACTTTATTGCAATATCAACAGTGAAATCAAATTGAATTATTTGCATGGGTAAAATTAGTGTCGAACATCGTCTACGTTTGAAAATTATTTGATCGCCATTTTTTACGTAACTTCGAAATTTTATCAAAACAAACAGCATGTATCCACTTTAACAAACAGAAACAATGTTTGATTCGATGCTGCTTTAAGGTAAGACAATTACTGAAAACGCATGCATCCAACATTTATTCGATTTTCATCGTAAAAATCTTACAAAATATATCTTCACAAGTCGGCCCAAGCAGTCAATGTAAACTGCATGGTTAATGCATATAAATCTTTATTTTAAGTGCGAGAGACTGTTTTTAATAAATAAAATAAAGAAAAGGTGAAATAAGAAATTTTCTAAATACAATAAGACACACTTCAATACATATTTGAAGTATTACTTTTTGATTAATAACTAAATGAATACATGTCATGTCGTTGTTTACTTCCACCAGCGGCCGCCATTTCTAAAATATTGCTAACAAATGCCAAAATGTGAACTTTTCAATCAAATTTTGAAGCAAAAAGTTTGATACCTAAACTGATATGGTTTTCGATTTCATTTCAATGAATATGTTGTCGATCTTTTTAGGGGTTGGAGGATATTAGTAACAATAAATAAATTGAGAAAATTGATTATATAAGAAGGTCCCATTGCAATTTTATCGAGTATTAACGAAGAAGTCAATGGAGGCTGTGTGGTTATGTCACCTCAATTTTTAAACTTATTTTGAGGCAAGAAATCATATATCTGAACTGAAACTTAAAACATTTTTAATTGTAAAAATGAATATACTGTAAAACGTGGGGTTGGGAGGTAAAATACACAATGTAACAAAAAGGTTATGGCCGTTTAATCTATGTACCCCGTTCATTTTCATTGATAATCAATCGGCCATTAATTTTATATAACTGAGGTGTAAAAGTCACGTGATGACCGCTATAGTTGGATATGTAATATAGGGCCTACCTATTGTATTCATTGTCAATCTGTTCTCGTCCTGAATATGCAAGACATATTTGCCACTTGACGCTAAGAAAACAAAAATCAATCAATAATAATGCAAGCGCATCCGTGCTAAATCATTTTCAATATTTTAAATCTTCAAACAGGTTTTCTCGATAGATCAATAACTTATTTGTATTATCTTTTTTCCTTGTAATCAAACATATTAGGTAAGAATCACATACATACACATATATATGCATGTATATAATATATATTTCTATTTTGTTTTACCTGATTGTACTCAAAATCGCCTTTCCTTAATTATTAATTTATATTACTCAGTTCAAAATAATTGTAAAGTCGTGTGCGTCTGAGTAAGAATGAGTGAGTGGATAGGTGTGAAGTATATATCCTTATGTCTTGTCTTGTGTTAAAATTGTTTGTAAGAAAAAAAAATAACGCTGTTAATTGTGAATTTGTATATATCTATGTTGAGGAAACCAACACGTAGCCTCTGGCTGTTGGCAATCATCTTTAAATAAATAAAGAATTAAATAAATCATTTAGTAATTTCTGTCCCCATTCTCGAGTACTATAACAGAGCCAAAACGATGCTAGGCCCACTAAGAGTCGTATTTTCTTCTATATGGGACTGCTTAATATTTTTTTGTGGTTTATGGTTAACCAACTTGCCTTATCATAAAACTTTCTTTCCAACAAATTAGATCAGATATTCAAAGAACAAAATTTATCTGTATGCCTCAATAGTAGTAGAGACTTCTCTGATAGCAGAGTGCATGCTAATATCAAAGTGACATAAATACTTATCCAAAGATTTATATATTTTCCGGATTTACTGACATAAACGTTTGGTCTAAAAACGTAGATGTTGCATGTATATACCTTTAAGTGATATGTGTTTGTTTACTCAGAAACAGTGATATCTTTAGCTATATATCGTCTGAGATTACTAGTCTCAGATATCGTTTAGATTTTTTAGTATAATAGTGTTGGAACTGCTTTTACTGACTTAAAACCTGATTTTATTCACAATTCGATACAAATATTGTACAGTGATATTGATGGAAGAGATATTCTATTCAATGGTATATTGTTTGTGAATCCGGAACTACGCAGAAGAGGTGTGCCTACAAAATCGTTAGTTGTGAATCTGGAACTACGCAGAAGAGGTGTGCCTACAAAATCGTTGTTTGTGAATCTGGAACTACGCAGAAGAGGTGTGCCTACAAAATCGTTGTTTGTGAATCTGGAACTACGCAGAAGAGGTGTGCCTACAAAATCGTTGTTTGTGAATCTGGACCTACGCAGAAGAGGTGTGCCTACAAAATCGTTGTTTGTGAATCTGGAACTACGCAGAAGAGGTGTGCCTACAAAATCGTTGTTTGTGAATCTGGAACTACGCAGAAGAGGTGTGCCTACAAAATCGTTGTTTGTGAATCTGGAACTACGCAGAAGAGGTGTGCCTACAAAATCATTGTTTGTGAATCTGGAACTACGCAGAAGAGGTGTGCCTACAAAATCGTTTGTTGTGAATTCAGAACTACGCAGAAGAGGTGTGCCTACAAAATCGTTAGTTGTGAATCTGGAACTACGCAGAAGAGGTGTGCCTACAAAATCGTTGTTTGTGAATCCGGAACTACGCAGAAGAGGTGTGCCTACAAAATCGATTGAATTCTCCCTTTCTCTTTATCTTTCATCTATACAAGTTTCATTTCAAAGCAACAAAGTAAACATGTTTTAACTGAAGTTATCAAGGGATCTTACAGAGCACCTCCGATAGCCCTCCGGTGTTGGTAGGGTTCATTTTGCTCAGTCTTCAGTATTCTATGCAGTATTTTGACAACTGTGTTTGTCTTTTCCTTGACTTTTATATTTTTTTGCCATGGAGATATCAGTTTCTATCGATTCATGAGTTTTTAATGTCTCCTCAGTATATATATAGCTTCTTTTTAGTAACATTGAACGTGAACTTTGTAATATGGACCAAAAATTAAAAGGCTACTTAAGGTCTTCCATCTGTTTAAAATTCATTCTAATTAGCAAGGGTAACTCAAATTGCCAAAAAAAATGCATTTTGGACACACAGAAGAAATAGGCCACAACTATATGCTCAAGAAATTGTTTTCACCGACCATAAAACAAGTAGGCTAATGCATGGATATCAATGAATAGTAAATGACAGCTAAAAACATGAAAAATTGCCATTTACTGAAGATTCTGCTTAAACTAGTATTTGGTAGGGGCTATATTGAACTTGCAGTGATGTATAAGTTATTACTTTAGGCTGAAGGTCTCAATGTGATATAAAAGAGTAACGGAAGATATCAAAGGATCATTCATACTCAAAAGTTGAAAAACTAACTGACATGGCCATGACAAACAACGAACAAAGACCAAAAGACAAACACCAGTCGATAAAACCTGGGTAGATCTCGTGAGCTCCAGAAGGGTACGTAGATTATGTTCAACATTTGTCACCCGTTGCGGTGCTGATATAAGTACAAACCCAGTGATATTCAGTAGGTCACATTTGAGGAAGAGAGGATGGGATTGAGGTCACAACAACTGGAACATATATTTGTCGTCCTCTGTGAAATAGATATTCCATAGCGGTCAACCAACAGAAGCAAAAAGACAAATAAAAGCATTTCGGCATGCATACTGATATAAGTAGTTTATATTGTATATCAACACAAAAAAAGCAGCAATATATGCATATGATTCACCTATCCTCGTGCAACTGTCTTCTTTCAGATTAAACGTGAGTGTAAAAATATAAAAATATGAAACAGAAATCCTTCAAAAATACACACCATAAAATTCTGGAGCAAACTAGACTTGTGAAAAGACCTACAAATTATCAATTACCAAATAAACAAAGTCCTAAAATCTAAGATGATAATAGTGCAATGAAACTGTTAGGGACTCAAACGATATATAAGTAATAATTTTTATAACTATAAAAAAAGAAACTTTGAGGTAGCTGCAGATATTTGAACAATACATGTCTTGTTTGTGGAGAATGTTCTGTCACATTTATTTAGTAGAGTTATCTTTCTTTCCCCACATTTCATTTTTGGTTAATTTTCGGTATGTTTCACTCCCCTAGATTACATGAATCAATAATACCCGAGTAGATAGAAAGGAAAATGGCACATGGCCCGCAAAGCAATTTTGGGAATAATTCAATTATTGGAAATCTAGTGGTCCCCCACAGAGTAAGTTTTATTACCTGCCTGATATAATCATTTATTTGTATGTAGATAAGTTTTGTGCTATAGATTCTTATTATGAAGGTTTTGTGCCAATTCATAAGCCACTTGGTTATCTTCATTTTTTTTTATATGCATTGTGTTGAAATAATTTGCTACTTTTTCGTACATTTGTGTATTGTTAGATATTTTTCATATCAGTTAAGATATTAGGATTAGGCACATATCATGTATATTTTTAGATACTGTGTAATTGGAACTTTTCGTACTAAAGAAATGGCTAATTGAACCGAAAAACTTCTTCTCGTAACTTTCGTGCATCCGTGCACATTTTGAGTATTTTGCGACTTTAAATAGAACATTTATTATTATCTAGGCCTAGGATATAGTAAAACTTAGTCTATGTCAACGGACAATCCGCTTAGGACATATTATTAATGTGAATAATTTTGTTATTGTTGAGGTTATCTTTTACTTTGGCCTTGTTGTGAACCGAACATGTTGTAACTACATATTCTGCTCACCTGGACACAAAGGTGCATTTAGGAGCAAATTGATAAATTTGAGAAATATATTTTTCTTGTTTGTTTTGAACATTTAAAGCATAATAAGGGATATATTCATTGTTTTGCATTACTTGTATTATGTTTACAATACATGTTAAGAAATAACTTAGGAACAATTACTTATGATTGTTTATTTTTTTGTAGCTTTTTACCTTCTCCTGGGAGGTTTGTAGTGAAATAAAGAATTACAAGAAACATTTTGTTAGTCATTAGGCATTACAGTAAAAAGTCTGACGATTGGACCAGCATATTATGGACACGCCAGATGATGTAGAAACAAAACGGCTGAGAACACTTACAGTTAAGGCAATGGAAAACTATAAAGAAAAGGTTCAAGTTTATCATAATAGACTATTAGTAAAAAGACAAGCAGTTGAGGAATCATTAACCTATCTGGAGGAACAAACAGGAGATATACATGTTCTAGGACAGGTTAGAGAAACTCTTGTGGAAGTACTTAACAATTATTATAAACTTTGTAAGGAGTTCTGTGAATATTTGGCACCTCAAAATACGGAAAAAAGTAATAGTGAACTATTAGTACAAAAATCTGTGTTTCAAACAATAGCTAAAGAAGTAGATCAGGCAATTAAATACATTGATGAGCAAACACGTCATAGTACCAAGATTGATACAGAGAATAGCACATCTGCACATCTAGTCAAAGAGGATGAGCCTCAATTAACAATTAGGAATGGGAGTCCAGTTCATCATTCTAGTCTTCATAGTTTTTTACATGATCAAGGCAATTCTAGTCATAACATTCAAGGACATAAGTCACATTCTCGTTCGAGTCATAAAGCTAAAGGTAGTGATGGAGGTCGTTCTTCAAATTGCACTCACAGTCATTCTAGTCAGGGAAGTCACTCAAGCAAGGCAATTCTTCTAGACAAAGCAGCTAGAGCCGAAGCTGCCAAGGCAAAACTTAAATTCATAGAGGAGGAAGAGGAATTAGTAAGGAAACAAAATGAGTTAGAATTAGAAATCCAAAAACAAAGATCGGAACTTAAATCAAACTTAATCATTTTGAAACATAAAAGAGAGATTGCAGAAGCCGAAGCGGAATTAACAGCAGTTAAGGAACTTCTAGAGGAGGAAAATGCTATTGATAACAATTTGAAGGACCAAGGTCTTGATCTACCTCAATCAAGCCTATCAGAAATTGTCCAAAACTATGTTTACAATCAGATACTCGATGTAAACGAAATGAAACTAGTCGAAACAGATAAAGTTGTTGGTCACAGTCTCAATCCAACTGCTAAGGAGTTGTACCTAAGGACAATGTTGTAATTCAACCAATCACTAAACAAATTCAATCAAATGTTAAAGGTTGTGCACCTCAAAATACAACGGAACCAACTAAGTTTTATCCATCATCAGGTGTTATAAACTTAACTAGGTATATTATGAAGAAAGATCTTTTGATTTCAAGATTATCGACATTCGATGACAAACCTGAACGATATTGCAGTTGGAAAAAAGCTTTATTAACATACTTAGAGAACTGGATGGAACAGATTCAGAACAGTAAGATCATTTAAACAGGTACTTAGGCCCACAGTCAAAACGACATGCAGCAATTCTGAGTGTTGCTAACTCCCACAACGAAAATCAAGCTGTTGTTAAGATTTGGCAAAAGTTGGATGAAAGATATCGGGCGCCAGAAAGTATAGCAGCAGCAATCAAGGATCGCCTTGATCAATTTAAAAAAATCAACAATACAGAATATGACAAACTTTATGAATTATATGACTTATTGGCTGAGGTAGAATCAATTAAAGAAAATGATATATACAGGACAGTCCTATCATTCTATGGTTCATCATATGGGGTGAATGCAATCGTAGGAAAGTTGCCAAACTTCATCCAAACAAAATGGATGGATCGTGCTTGTAGGTACAAAACACAACATTCTGTGATGTATCCGCCTTTTTCAACGTTTGTAGAATTCTTACACAGCATGGCAGTGCGAATGAATGATCCAAGCCTTAAAATCCAACAATCAGATAGTGGACGAGACAAAAAAGTGGAACGGAAATATGCTGGGAAAAGGACTCCCGGTCAAACTGTTTTGAAAACATCAATTGAAAGACAGAACACTTCGGCTAATCTGAACTTAAAATGTCTCATTCACGAAAATGGAAAACACAACCTTGCCGACTGTAAAGTATTTGTTGAGAAACCGTTGGAAGAAAGAAGAGAGATTGTAAGGAAAAATGGATTTTTTTTCAAATGCTTAAATGGGAAGCATTTAGCTAAAGATTGCAAAGCAAACATAAAATGTGAGAAGTGTGGAAAAACGGTACACTGTACAGCATTTCATTTTGAACGTCAAACCCGTGAAAATAATGGCGGGGAAAGACAAGTTGAAAATCAACCGCCAGATCAAATAAGTACAAAATGTACTGAAATTTGTGATGACTCTGCTGATCCTTCTTCTTTTCAAGGAAAGTTTTGTGCAAAGACACTACTAGTCAAGGTTTATCCAGAAGGCAAACCAGAAGTAAGCGTTACTACTTATGCGATCATCGATGATCAGAGTAATAGGTCCTTAGCCTGTTCAACATTTATAGATCATTTCAATGAAACCACAGAGCCAGTCGAATTCATGCTAGCGTCTTGCTCAGGAAAAACTTTTCAACATGGTCGTCGTACTACAGGGTACATACTCGAATCTTTGGATGGCACTACACAACTGAAGTGTCCATCTCTGATTGAATGCAATGAAATTCCTATCTCAAAGCGAGAAATAGCTACTCCTGCAATAGCTAGGCACTACAAACATCTACAGGATATAGAACAGTTCATTCCAGAACTTGATAGGAATGCTGAAGTAATGCTTCTCATAGGACGGGATGTGACCGCCGCTCATCACATTTTAGATCAAAGAATT